TCCTGGTTTGATGCAGCATCAAAGTGGGCGACAGCCAACGTCCTCGCGATCGCCATTATTTCCTTCCCCATCAGCATTAGACCCAGAGCTAATCACCAGGGGGAGCTCTTCCTGTGCCTTGCGAGCTCTCTTCACAATTGATTTCAATTCGAACTCGGATTTCTTAATTCGTCTTGGACGATTGATCGTGAAACGGAGTTGATGGGGATGGATGTAACCTTAGTCATCCTGATGGGACCGCCTCGGGGACAGTTGCGTCATCGCTCGTTGCCCTGAACCTCTGGCGCTGGTGTTGGGCCCGGCGCAAAATTTTCACCATCAGCACCTTTTCTTATTTTCCGACACACCGGCCGGTTGACCGAGCGCCCGGTGACGGGGTGGAAGGACTGAGAAAAAAAATCACTCGATCTCTTGCCACAGGGGCGGAGACGTCTTTTCTTTTTCCATCTCAATCTTGAGACAGCCGCAGCGGGAGCAGACCCGGGACGTTTTCGCTGTTCAGCAAGTCTGATGGGGGGTCACATCGGACGCCGATGGATCCTTCAGTCCAGATGGATACGAAGTGCCACCAAACCTTTCACCAACACCCGCTGTTGAGCCGAACATGCCCTACGCGGAGGATGCCTCGCACAATTAATTGTCAGTTGCTTGCTCGCGTGCCTTTCCCCGGCCTCCGTCGCTGCGGACCCCGATGATGAGGAGCCGCCATCACGACTCGAGTCCCTATAGCTCAGGCCTGGTTTAGCCTACTTCTTGGGGTCCATCTACCGTACAGACACGGTCCACAGACGGATTGACATTGGACCTTGGACCTTGGACCTTGACTTCGTCCGCTTTCTTTTCCCGCACACCGATTGGCCAGTGCAACGCTGTCAAGGATATGCCACGAGCTGCCAGGCATCATTCGCCTCGTGCCTGGATTAACAGGGACGACATCGTCGATGACGCTCGATGCTTACTTTTCTAATTTCAATGACCAGGACAAGCTTCAACAATGCCATCGGTCCATCGACGATGACCATCTGCCGGGCTTCGGCTGTCACAAGAACAATGGGCACTCAGAGTGTGAAGGAAACACAAGCGGATGTTCCCAACCGAGGCATCCCAGTCCCCCGGATTGCGCCAGCGCCAGCCAGACCGGACTCTGGCAGACCACGCCAGACCGGACACCGGCGACGTGCATTCCGTCGACGACTCGGACCATAATTTCTCGGAGGATGCTCCAACTGCGTCAATTCGCCTCCTGCCTCGCTCTCGCACTCACCAACACCCCGACGCGGAGAAGATGCAAGTCCTGCATGCTGACAATGATGCCCGCACCGCACAGCAGCCCTCTCCTACCTCCCATCTCACGTTGCACCCGCAGCGCACCCAGATGCGGGGGACGTCCTCGGGGCATCAAAGATGCGATTTGTCCTCCGCAACACCACCCGGGGAGACCCCTCTTCTCGCGTAATTCTGCTCAACTACAGGGTGTTCCTCCTGATGCCGTGACACCGGCAGGCCGGGTCTCCGGCCGGGCGAACGAGCGGTTATCGCAGCCAGGCAGGCATCTATCTGACGAGCGACGGTGCGGTGCCACGAGGGACGTTCCTCGACCTTCCCGCCCGCGGCCAGCAGGACGGATTGACCCAAGGTGGTGGTCTGCCCGTCTCGGGAACACTACCGCTGACAACGAGCCGTCTTTTCTTCTTGCTATCGACATACAAGCCGTCCCGTGCCAGCACATCATCATGCCATGCCACCGTCACTGTACAATGCCATGGTCCTCTGCATGCATGCGCAAACCTACATCCTGCCGTCGAAGCTCACCGGCGGCTGCCGATGGAATTCAAGGAATATCGTATCGGAGACGGCCTGCAACTCCGCCAGGCTCACATGTTCGTTCCTTCGGTTCGCCGCCGAACATATCCATCCGCTTCGTTGGACCCTGCGGCAGAAGAACTTGGAGCCCCTCACCTCCATCAGAGTCTGCCCGCTTCTTGGCCTGCAAGCCACTTCTGGCGGACTACGGTACAGTGGAGGCGCGGCACAGTCCAGGCTCAAGGGCGATGCCAAAGTTGGCAATTCCTCATGCTGGCCCTCGGTCTTTCAGGGGACTTTTTACCACTGGTGTGCTGCAAAGCATGCGCGCCAGTCTATGAGATGGTTGCGTCACCCACTTTACCCGTGGCCGCACGGCTTGCCCTTTTGCCAGTTAGCCAGGTCCTGCGGGCCCTGTGAGGCCTTTTCATGCTTTTCTGCACCCTTTTCTGTCCTTCACCCCTCCGTACCTTGCATTAGCCACCGCACACGATGGTGGTGTGCTCTCGACGACGATTTGTCTAGACCAGAGAAGCGAGCAGCCTAGCACGAGGCCCCGCAGCTTGTTGAGGTGGGAAGTCGGGAGACGGGCACATTTTGCCATGCAGACAACCAACTTGAAGCTTCTTTGGCGAGCACGAGCTTTCTGGACGAACCTGCAGAAAGCTACTGTTGTCAGCGACTGGCGTTGCAGCATTGGAGAGCTGGCTGCATGGGATGTGCATGGGCCGGGCTGGTGACGAGGCAGAGGGAAGCACACCGGTCGCACACTGGCTTGACTGGCAGTCGAGGTTGCATTCAACGTCGCAGTCGAGGATCAATTGAGCGGGAGAAGCACATGCCGAGAACGATACCACTGCTGATCATCCTCTTGCTTTGCTGCTGCTCCGCTGTGTTGCATCCTCACTGCCGTCCTCGCCGTCCTCCACTATGAGCCGCAACACGGCTGGCCTGGATGCTCCCAACAATCCTTCCCGTCCTCTCCCGACTTCCAGCTCCTGTCGGCCCGGCGTCTGGTTCATGCAAACATCGTATCGAACTTTTTTACTGCGCCTCGTCAACGGGACGCCTCAGCTGAACCGCAATCCCGAGAAAGCTCCCGTCGACCGCATCGTGACGGCGCCGCGCCTGGGTGGTCCATGCTCATGCTTCCGCTGCGGGAGTGCACGTTCAGCCGCCGCATGGCCCGGGTACTGCCCGCGCCCGATGCCATCTCGCCTTTGCATCGCACGGATCGCATCAGAGCAAGGGGTTCGAGGACGAACGCCGTCCATGCGCAGTCTCACCACCAGAAAGTTGAGACGACGGCCGGTGACGCTTGATTGTTTTGATTGCCTCTTTTTCTTCTGTCTGTTTATTTTTGTTTTTGTCGTCGGTGTCAACAGTCAGGCTCGTCGCTGAGGGACGCAGCCCTGGACACGGACTGCTCCACGCAGTTTCCATCCATCCATCCGTCCGTCTAAGCGAACGATCTTCTCAGTCTGCCATCGCAGGCAGCCATCGCTTCGTCCGAGGCCAACCCTCCTTTCTGGCAGACTCTGCGCCATGCGCCGCCGTCGAAAGGCTGCCGCGGCAGGACCGCGCCGGCGGTACAGGGGCAAAAACTCAATTATTCGCGCGACGGCCTCGCGAGCACCATGCGCGCGCGCGCCAGAAACCGCGTGGCACGCCTTGCACGCCAAAAGACCGACCATGCCCTGGTCCCAAGAGGGTGTGATAAAACATCCCTGTCCCCGGAAACTGTCCCGGATTGTCATTGAGTTTTTCCTTTCCTCTCATCGCGTCGCCTCGCTTCTTTCCACGCCTGGCAATTGATCTACGGGCGCGCGTGCGCGGTCGAGAACCCGGTCTATGACCGGGGGTGTCGCAGTGGCAGACGGAGGCGCCTCCGACGATCAAAGTTGCGGTCGTTGGAACGAGCTCGCGAGCTTAATGGTTGGGCTTGACGAAGGAGATGAGAGAACTGGGAGGAGGTTGTCGACGCCGTTGTTTCCCCCTCAGAGTAACTACGTTTGGGTCAGAGTTGCGAACTTGATGTCGCGATGTTACTGTGGCGGTCTGCATGTGGGAAGTGCCGAGGTTGACGGCCTGCGACCATCAGCAGTTGAAGCGCAGACAACTCCGGATTCCTGCCCAACAGACAGACGGCCCAAGGACGATCCCCCAACAAGCTTTCGCGACCCTGTCCTGCCCCTGCCCTGACTGCCCGGCCCCTTGATGTCTATCCACCCAAGGCGATTGAGATCCAAGCCACCGCAGCCAATGAGTGGCTTGACAGCCTGATCTATTGAAGCAGCTCCAATCTTGCTGTCCTCGTTTGCGGGCTGGTGAAGTGTGGCGGGCACTCATTCGCCCACGCCACCAGGGTGCGAGGCGGTGTGATTGGCAGGGTCAACGTCCCCTGGACTGTCTGTGAGGATACAGCACCACGTCACCATATTGACAGACATTGCTTCTCGTGATCGGGTGGAGAGGTTCCGGGACGGTGAAGGTATTGACAGGAGGTGGGGAAGGGAGAGGTTTGAAGAGCGGTGACATGGGTCTATGTCGAGGGTGCGTGACGGTGAGCGTTGGAAACGTGAGTTGATACTGAGACTCACAAATGCAAGGCGAGATCCAAGCTTCCAAGATGGTCATCATCTCGCATGTGCCAGGTTTCTTTTGGCAAAGTGACTCACGTCACTGTACATCTGCTGAGAAGAAAAGATCGCAGCACGGTTTGCCCCTGTCAACTACTCGGGGTTGTCTCTCGCATATCGCTCAAGATATGACAAGTCAGCGAATACATGAATAAAGAAGAAACCAGGACATCAATCCATATGCAATAATACAGGTGCTAGCTGAAGATTTGAGTGCAATTTCATTCCGATGGCACGGCCAGTCACGTCACCCCGAGGGGCGGTCCCTCGACAGCCAGGTTCAACTACCAAGATCGCCACTTACCACCCACTCTTCCGCACACCTGAACAGCAAAAGAGCACTTTCAAGCCACCACAACCTCAAACAGCAAAAGTGTAAGTGTCCGGAGTGAGGCTCGAACTCACGACCTTTGGATAACATCTTCTGTTAACAGAGGACTCATATCATATGAGACCAACGCTCTAACCAACTGAGCCATCCAGACATGTCAGCAGGCGACATCGTGAGGCTCAAGAACCGAGAAATCGTGCATCAGGAGATAAGGCAAAAAGTAACCGTGTCCGGAGTGAGGCTCGAACTCACGACCTTTGGATTGGATCTCCTGTTCTCAGGAAACTCATACGATATGAGACCAACGCTCTAACCAACTGAGCCATCCAGACTTGGATGGTGAGCCGGAGCTAAGGGTGGGAATACGGAGCGTAGTGGTGGGTCGGGGAGAGGGGATCGTGGAGATTTGTCTTGGTGTGGACTCGTGAGAGGGGCGGCGGATCAGGTTGGGCGGGGTGGACCGGGAAGACTGAGCGCTTGGTGTGGCGCCAAGTGAGTCAAAGGTTGGAAAGTGCTACACTCTTGGCATGTGTCGGGCAGGCAACAGGTAAATCTCGTAGCTCCGAGGCAAGACTCATGGGTGGGTGAAGTTACCGGGTCTCATACGCCACTCGAAGACTCAAGCAGGGTAGGCATAACAGTAGATCGGACGTATTATGTGTGTGTTCAGAAATAGAATGCTTTGAATTGACTGATATGAAACGGAGTAATGGATCAAACAAACGTTGCCATGTGGGATTATGTTCTGAAATGTCCCAGGATTCTCAACATCGTCTGTCTGTCTTGAGAGACTGAGACATTGACGGGAAGGATGGCGTAGTCAGGGTAGGAAGGAAATTAGCCAGATCGAGCCCGATTTAGAGGCAGTAGGAGTCAGCGGTAGGTCAAAGTTGAAAGTCGTTTTCGTAGATGAGGCGGTTAGAGTAATCAAGTAAGGTACTTCATTGCTGTGCCTGATTTAGGTAAACCTCAAGTAACCCGTATAACGAAGCAGATGATACGGCTGAGCACATGGCACGACGAAGCAGATAGCAGGACGGAGTACATAGTAGGACGAAGCAGGTGGAAGGACGGACTAGATGAAAGGGCGGACGAAATGAAAAGACGGAGCAGACGAAAGCACCGAGCAGGTGCAATGACGGAGCAGCTAACACAATCGAACATCATCCCCAACTATCCATGCTCGGAGTCATCACTTCTGTCACTGCTTCACTTTCAGCGATATCGTCATGGTGGTAAATCGAGTATCAGCTCATTACAAAACTATGAGCTTCCGCACACATTGCCCGCCGTTCAACGCAAGTACAGAACAGAATTGAGTTTTCTCCAAGCCCGCCGTGGCAGAAACACCTGGCAACAGTGTGCTGCGGGAAAGTTTACCATTCACCGGTATATCCTCATTTCGAACCCTGATAGCCAAGCGGCGCGGGCCCGTCAGGTGGCATTTTCCGACCAGTTCTTCCCGGGAAAACGAAGTATCTCCCCCGTTCATGGATTGCCCTTTTCCTGACGCCTGCAAGCTAATTGATCTTCTTCTCGGGGTTGGGGCTGATGCGGATCTCGGTCCAGAAGAAGGCTCCGTTCCACTTGGTGTCGGGGCTGGAGTTGTGGGTGGCCGACTTGTTGGGGCTGCACTTGTGAAGGGTCTTGCGCAGGCGCTTGATGGTCTTGGTGGGCGCGACGCAGTGCTGGCCCCAGTTGGGGGTCTTGTTCTGGATCTGGATGTGGCAGTTGCCAAAAGCCCAGGCGTAGCCCTTGCTGTTCTCGATGCACTCGGGGATGACGAAGCCTTGTTCAGCATTCTCGAGCTTCCCGACGAGAATGTCGCCTTGCTTTGTTTTAGTTTCTGGCTGGAGTAGGGGACGGGGGATGGGGACGATGACGTACAGTCAGAGTAGGTGAGAGGCCTGGAGCCGTCGCAGTGAATACCATTACCGGGCATCTTCATCGAAGTGCTCTTCATGCTGTTGCCGGTGGGCGGGATTTGGTGGGCGACAGGAGGGGCAACGTGAGGGTTGCGAGCACCATGGACAACCGTGGCCAGCACGAAGAGGACGGCCAGAGACAGCCAGTTCAGTTGCATACGCATCTTGGCGGTTGGACAGAGAATGCACGTTTTCTTGGAGGTTGGTGAGTTGGACCGGTGATGCCTTTGTCAAGAAGAGATGATGCCAACGTCTGGGGAAGAATGGCGCGTCCAGAGTTTTTGTAGGCGAGGAAATTTGAGGCCGTGGACGGTGGCTCTGGGCGTCGATTGAGTTTTTCCGCCGCCACCGCCTCGTTGATGGCGGCCGTCATCCGTGGCTCAGCCAGCAAGGTTCGTATATCACGGGGGCGTTGTAAACAGTGTCTTCGTGTTCGTCTTTCATGACGCTTTCAAGTCTTCCGGGAAGGCCCCAATGCCGCGATGAAGATGGCAAGACTGTGGACTAGCGATCTGGAGATACATTTTTCTAAAGGACGTCCGACGATGATCTTGGACCGGGAAAAGCGTCAGCAATGGCTGATTACGGGCAGCAGGTTGATGCTCCATAAATGCTTTGAGTGGCTTCCACATAGGGCGCCACAGTCGACTCCCTCGCCAGTCACAAGTGCCTTATCATGCCATCAGGGTTCTAGAAGCTTGTGCTGAAACATGTGGTGGAAAGCCCCCTCATTTCGGGGATTGTAGGATGCCGTGCCTCGTCAATGCTTGCATACTGGTTAGCCGGTCGTATCCGTCTGTTCTGAGGACGATGCATGAACGTCTGTTGGTGCCCGCCCCTAGCCGTCAAGCCCACCTTACCGTATGCATGACTGCCCCTCGGCCCCTCTCGTGATCAGCAGCTTCACGATACACTTGCAAGTCGCGGACATCTCATTGCTGCTGGCATTATTTCCCCGCCCAATTCTCGAATAAACGTCTTGTGAGAGGGGAAGAGGAGAATAGGTACAGCAAACACCGAAATTACTTCTAATCATCTCCCAAACTGGTCTCCGGCAACCTCGTTCATGTAAGATGTCCCAGCCAGGCGAAAAGTATCCGGGATAGGTCGGGAGCCATCGGGACGAAGGTTGAATACCTCCCCGTATCCTCCCGTCGCGTTGTAGAGCGGCCACTCGGGAACATTTTCAACTGTACACGGTCAGAACCTCTTCCGGAACACAGAGCATAAATACATACGCCCGTGATTGTTAGGATTCAGATCATTAACAAAGCTGATCCACATCCGAGAGGTGAGCTTTGCAAGCTCGACTTCCCCAGGGCCTGGGTTCAGGAACGGGTTCATAAAGTCCTGGAAGCCGTTGCCAATCAGGTTGTAGAAGACAAAGGCAATTTCCCCAAAGTGAGAGGTGCCCATCTGCGCTCCTGTTGTGTGTTAGCTTCTGCTCATTCAGGACAATTGGTCGGGATGCACGTACGGCCTCGCACCCGAAAGTTGGTCTGGAAAAGATAGGCAAACGTCGGCACTTCATGCTGGGCCCAGGCGGAGCTCCGAAGACGCGTCCAGGTCAGGAACATCTGGTCCGTCTGGAAGGCCATGGTCCGTTTGAACTGAGAGCCCACGGCGCCAGGGACCACGCGGTAGTCTGTCGGAAGGCCAAGGGCGTCAATGTTGGGGTAGAGCGCCGAGATCGTGCCGACAGTCTCCTCGTCGACCCCCTTGCTCCGGACCAGCGCCTCAAACTGCTCGTCCGAGTCAATACCGGCCTGTCCGAAAAGCGTACCCTCGTCCGTGTTTGTGCCAACAATGAGCGGCGCCTTGACGAACTTGCCCTCGCTGAGGAGCGTAGACGGATAATCGGGGATGAAGGTGCCATCCACAATAGGTGTGAAGCCGCCGGACGTCACTGTGATGGTTGCGTTGAGCTTGTCAAATGGCACCTCACGTAGACACGCAAGACGGTCTGATCGGCCGTCGCATCCAACAGCCGTCACGATCGTATCGTACCTCTGCTGCGGCGCGGTGAGGTTCTTCATGTGACTTCCATCGGCGCCAGATTGGGCGATCATGCCGCGAAAGAGGCCGTCGTCTCGTCCGCCATACGCCGTAGCCATGTAGCCGACATTGCCGCCGCCAGCACTCTCTCCAAAGATGGTGACCTTGGTGGGATCGCCGCCAAATGCTGAAATGTTCTCCTGGATCCAACGCAGGCTGAGGTACTGGTCTTTGAGTCCGAGGTTGGCCACGTCGGCGTCGATGATGTCCTGGCTGGCGAGAAATCCCCAAAAAGAGAGGCGGTCTACTTTGTTAGCTCACAATCAACTCTTGGAGTTGGAAGACGTACATTCCACAGAGACGGCGACGATGGGCTTGCCCATGTTCACCGACTCTTCAACGATGAAGCTGAGGTTGTAGACCCCGTTGGCCGAAAAGTCCGACGCCCAGCCACCACCGTGGAGGAAGACGGCGACAGGCAGCAGGCCATCTCGCTTTCGGACACAATTGGACTCCTGGGCCGGACGAATGACATTCAGCGTCAAGCAGTCCTCGCTGAGCGGATGAGGCCAGTCCGCCGTGTTCTTGTGGCTGTCAGTCATGGTCCTTTATGCTGTTCCGGGTCCGACTTACACCATATCCCACGCAAGCAGGGGGGTACTCTGTCACATTGAGAGCGCCAAAAGTCTTGTTGAGACTCTGCGGGTTCTCGAAACGCAATGGACCGACAGGAGGCTGAGCAAAGGGGATGCCAAGGAAGAGGTCCTGGTCGTAGGAGGCGACATGCTTGCCTAACAGCGTGCCGTTGGCGATGCGGACGGTTGGCGGGACGCGAGAGTCGGCCGCCGAGATGCCCTGCCCCAGGATGAGGGTCGTCAAGGCGATGCGAAGAACTGAGGCCATCATGGGATGAACGAGATGCACGACCACCTTCCGATGACTTGCGGACTGGGATGGTCTTGCAAGGGAATGATCAAGACCTCCGAGAAAGGCTTTCTTTTGTACAAGCCAGGCCAAGCCTCGGCCAGGAAGTGCCCCACGAAAGACGGAGGCGATGCTGCCCACTTGTTGTCATTACCGGACGCGGCCACGGTAGCATTCAGGCTCGAGTCCAACCCTGGAGGTGATGTGCACATCGTATTCTCCCAAGCACCGCCATGCAGACTTCATCCCCGGATTCCACGACAGAATCAGGCAAGTGTAAGCCCAAGCGACGTTCCGGAAGGTTGGATCGTCCGACGGCGTCATTCCGGAAGCAAGGGTCGTGACAAGCGTCAGGGCTAAACGTGCAAACCCACCCTCCGAGTTGCGGGGTGAACATGCTTTCCGGGGCTGGCGGGGAACATGGGAGATGAACATGGGGTAGGTGACCCAAAGTGGCAACTTTTACCACTGCCTAACGGCATTAACGT